CTCAGGGCTGTGTGCGAGGTGCCCGCGCAGGTCCAGGGATCCACCCCAAAGAGCCTGGCAGCTCCACTGTCGTACTCCACCTCCCCTCAGCTCCCAGACCTGCCTGGCTCCGTTGCTTATTGTATCTTTTATTTTATTTTCTTCTTTGGGTTGTTTGTTTGTTTGTTTGTTTGTTTGTTTTGAGACAGAGTTTCTCTGTGTAGCCCTGGCTGTCCTGGAATTCACTCTGTAGACCAGGCTGACCTCTGAGTTCAAGGCCAGCCTGGTCTACAGAGTGAGTTCCAGGACAGCCATGGCTACACAGAGAAACCTTGTCTTGAAAAAAAAACAAAACAAAAAACAAATAAATAAAAATAAACCTCAGTAAGTATATTACTGGAAACATATCAAAACTGTACCTCTGTCAAATTCAGACTGACTAGATTTCATCTGAAAATCTGCCTGTTTGCAAGCACATACTCCATAATGATGCGGGAACTCGCAACAGTGGGATAGATAATCCCCAAACATTTGAGATAAATTCCTAAATATTGAATATCCTATTTTAAAAATCAGGAGACTTAAAATGACTCCGAATCTTCCTGCTGCTCAACCCAAAATTAAGAAGTATTTGAAACTAGACGTAGAATGAATCCTACGTTCATTTTCAGTGAAAAGACCCAAGAAGATTCTTGGGTAAAGGAAGGCCATAATGTGAGGGAGGCGGGGTTGGTGAACTGTGGCTTAAGGCCAGATCCCTGTGCTGTGAGTTCCATCCGGGTGCAGGGAGCAGTAGAGGAGGTAGCAGAGGTTCTCAGCCCGTCTTTACTGGTCACCACACTTGGGCAAGCTCCACAGGCCCACTGGAGCTTTTGTTGAAGCTTGTGCTTGAACCTATTACAGAACATTTACATGTATTTAAACTCCACTGTTAACAAATACAGCGTTGCTTATGCTTCTGGTACGGTCATCAACTGTATGAATGCAGAGACCTGACCCCAGAAGCTGTGCAATTAAGGGAAAAGACTGGGCTCAAGGCCCAGTGCTGACAACTCAGCCAGGTCCCCATCTTCTTGTAGAGAAAGGTCACCTGACCTGAGAGCCAGTAATCATGAGGAGATAGAACTACTTGATGGGATGAGACCCGACAGGACCGAGCACTGAGGGTAGTGTAGCAGTAGCCTGTTGCCTATTTAAGTCTAAGATTGAGACAAGTAAGCCTTCAAAAGACTGTGCTCAGCGGGGTGTCACTGTCCTTTGGCATATATGTTGTTTGTCAAGCTGAATTTTGGTGTCAAGTGGAATTTGTCCTTAAACCCCAAGTTAAATGTTAACCCTTCTCGTGAGGTGTTTTGTTCCCACGGATGGCCACTCCCCTTTCTGTCCCTGCACCGTTGTGGTTTTACGCTATCCCAAGGGTTTCCTCTTCCCAGACCATGAACTCTCTGAAGGTCAAGTCTTCCCCATCTTGAAATTATTGTGGAGGTTGTGTGCACAGTATGTTAGTTAAGTGAGTGACTAGCAAGAGTAAAGGAGGCGTGTGTAAATGCAAACAAGCCATTTCTGACTCAGAGTCTAAAAGGAAAATGGGGACCCCATGCATCTGGAGGCGCCCCTCTCCAAGTAGCCAGTGCTCAGTACAGTAGGAGACCCCAAAGAAATCTGCAGGAGAAAGAAAAGCAAGGCCAGCTCTAGGCAACAGTCGTGGTAGTCGTGAACTTTCTTGTGTTTTTCATTTTCTCTAGTCTAACCCCCAAAGTGTCTAATCCCCCAGCCTGAGGCTCCCTTAGATGAGCTCCCCAGGCCTGATCCCTGCTTTTTATCAAAACTAGTCCTTGTGTCCCCTTCCTTCAAAGCTAGTCTGAGCCCCGCAATACCTACTAATTTAATGACTATTGATTCCTATAACAGTTACAGACAACAAAGGGCATTGATAGGTAATATATTCCAGTCATGGGAATGAAATCAGATCTAAAACACATAACCCAAAAGACAGACCCAGTAAAACTGTATCAGGCACCATGCTTGGGTATGGGATTATCCATGCTGCCCCCTCCATGATCCATATGGAGCAAACACTTGGAAATACCAGGCTGCCTATAGGACTCCTGACCCTACAGATCCACATTTATGCAGAGCTGTGGAGGAGCAAGCTGTAGATGCTATAGTTGCATTGCACTATGACGCTGAGAACACAGAATTCACTGGTGATGAAATGAAATGTCTGGGTTCTCTCGAGTCAGCCCCGCAGAGTGGACTCAAGTCTCAGAGGAAAATGAGCCAGGATACTGTCCTTGTGCTGCACCTGTGCCCATGTCACTGGGTAGGACATGGTGCTAATGGGTGCCACCAGTGGGTTACTTCTCCCTCTGTCCCACAATGTGGAGCCCAGGATTTAAAGTACTATGTGTGGTTAATGCTAGCCCCTCTTACAGAAGAGAGCCAGCCAAGTTTCTCTGTTGAATTTGAAGGCCAGGTCTTTTTCCTTGTCTGGAAGTGTTCTTGAGCAGTCTTTTTCTGTGTGCAGTGAGTCTCCAGTCCTGGACTTTGAAGTACCTCATTTGACCCTCTATTGTAGGAATCTATTCATAGAATGGTGGTGTGGCCCCTTTAAGAGCCAGTTTGAGCTGTTGCTGGGTTTTGAAAGGTTCTGATAACTGGACTTTTGGATCACTGATAACATTTTTAATTTAGAGTTGGAACAGCTCCATCTGGTAAGAAGTACGGCTGGGGCAGACAGGGCACGCTATTGTTCTACAAGCAGTGGGGTTCAAATTCAGTTCTGCCTAAACAGGTACACAACCGAAACACTAGCTTTTACACACTTTTTCTGTTACACTGTACTTTTACACAACCATTTACACTTTTGCAGTTTCTACCGTAGTTAACTGCTACTTGAGATTTTTATACCATTTTCCTTGAAATATATTTATTACTTTACACAAATGTTGATTTTAAGGACACAGATGGAAAACTGCTCTTCCTTGTTCTTAACTGAAGATAATCACTACAATGAAAATAAAGATCACTAAATTCTAGCTAGATAATACTGCCCACTAAGGCTGAGCCCATGGATTATTATTATGGAGTAATAATCTCCAATTATTACTAACCTGGGATTAGGGTATGCAAACACAAGGGCCATACCAGATACAAAGAGAACCCTCTCCTTAATTATCCCAATGCCAGCCTTGGGTTAACTCTGCCTTTGAAAACCTCGTTCCCTTAGTAGTCTGTGTGTTTGACAGACTGGATTTATATGAACAGGATAAATATCAACCTAGAGGTAAGTGGCTCTCTCTGCATACACCCAAGAAGTGCTAGAATACACAAACGCATACACACACACACACAAAAAAAAATCCACAATGAATGTACAGAGCAAAAATGCCATGAGTGTACAGGCACTTGATGCTCATGTGTCAGTGCAGAGAGATGGCCTGTGTTTTGTATGCTTGGCCCAGTTCTAGCCCAAGGAAGCTTGACAAAGCAGGTACATAGTCAGCGGTCAGGTGTGTGTTAAGTCTAATGCAGACTGCATTCACCAGGCTCCTCGCTGGTACTGTCCTGAGGGTCCCGGGAGGGAATGCGCTGGCACAGCCTGCAGAGCTTAGGAGAAACAAGATTTGAATAAACCTTGAAGGAAGTACTAGGTAGAGAATCACTGGTGTGTGTGTGTGCGGGCGCGCACAGTAGTTCAAGAGCCCTGGGGGGACAGGATCTGTGAAACCAGCAGGTTTTGTCCCACGGTTGTGACCTTTCAGTGGCTTCAAAACTTTCTGTTCTCCAATTTAAATAAGTCTTTCCTTTCCTGAGATCTCAAGAGCCCACTCCACTCTCCTTATTCACAAACATCACAAACATTCACAGCCCAAGAAAGAGCTCTATCGAGGCATGATGACACACCTCCAATCCTAGCATAGGCAGAGGCAGACAGATCTGTGAGCTCAAGATTAGCTCGGACTACCAACTGTGTGCTTTGAAAGAAAATGGACCCCAAAAAAAGGAGTGGTACTATTAGGTATGGCTTTGTCAGAGTGGGTGTGGCCTTGTTGGAGGAAATGTCATTGTGGAGGCAGGCTTTGAGGTCTCATATTTGCTCAAGCCACACGGAGTGTCTCAGTTCACTTCTTGTTGTTAAACGGAGTAACTATTCCTCTGGTATTGATTTGCCATCACATAATTTGCTGCTGTAGAGAGAAGTCTATATATGAATGCCAGAAAAGTCTGGCTCTGGCTCCTGAGTACCGGGATCACAGGTGTCACAGCCTAGAGAAGAGCAGGGTTTGAAGTGTGGAGCAGTGGGTGGGAACTAACCTGGGATTTGTGAATTAGCTCTACAGCTGGCACAGAACTGAGTTCTTAGGACTAGCCTGGCAGTGGAAAGGAATGATTGTTGAGCTGTGGCTACCCAGGCCTTCTGAAAGGTTTCCAGTTTCATTTGACACCTCCATGTTGGCAATACAAAAATCTTAAAACTCCATCATACCAGAAAAAAATGCTCAGAAAGTTAATTTTTTTTTCTTTTCTCACACTAATTTTTCAACAAAGTTAAATAATACTTCGGCTAAAACCAGAATCAAAGCAAGATGCAAGCATTTTCATTGACTGAGTCTCAAACCTAACATCATCTTTGTTTTTTAACTTAGCTACTAGAAACAGAACACTTTGTGGAGCTGTGGTTATTGTTGCAGGAGGCAAGATTCCCTGTGTTCCATATGGAGTGGAACAGCACTGCAAACCCTTCTAATCCAAGCTTCAGGTTTACTGGCTTTCTGCCTCTTGCTAACTCAGTCATCCCTTTGGAAGAGGTGTGCATCTTCATGGCCTGGTCCCATGGGCATCCTATCAATCAATGAGCAGGTGGCAGGTGGGAGAGCCCAGACCTGCATGTCAGCTAATGGCTGCCTGTGCTTGCCTTTCAGGTCCAGTATTTCTTCAAGATCTTGGATAATTAATAATACAGAGAGTAGAGACGGCACAGACAGAGACAGTCAAGACCAGCGAGTCACACACGTGAGGAATGTGTTCATTCTTTTATTGTCCGTTGTTTTAACCTGACCGACACAAGATCAACAAGAGCACTGTACTCCTGGCAATTATTACATATGTTAGAACATGGGTTTGCACTGTGGACAACATTTAACACCAGTCTATGGGGTACTGCATTGCTTTTTATAAAGTTCAAAATAAAGATTTTATTTTCAAACAAGTGACTTTGGTTTATTTCATACATTACACTTTTTCTTGCAGAAAAAAATAAAATTGTACAACTGCATAAATATAAAATTCTTCCACCATGAAAATGGTTAAAACATTCATAAAGACACAGCACCAGCACATGATGCCTCCAGAGAAAGGAAAGAAGGAAAAGAAAACGTACAAAGCAAATGAATGAGCCCCATCACTAGCCAAAGTGATGGGCAGATCCAGATACAGACACAGCTTCGGAACACACTGGAGGACAGGGAAAGATGGCAGACAGCATTCAGCACGGAGCACAACACAACCCATCACCTTTGTGTTTTCTGTAGTGTCACTTAAAATTTAAAGGGCAGTTCCCCCATGACAGCCCACCCCACCCCCAGCCCCAGGAAATAAAGATAAAAATAAAGACCTGATACCACAGGAAAAAGACTATGGAGTGTGTTAAAAATGCTCATTGATGGGCCATTATCTTTGAAATTTCAGAGCCAAAAAAAAAAAAAAAAATAAGAAAGAAAAGGGAAAAGTACCATGCCAGTTTTATTCCCATTGAATATTTACACCTTGGACAGCAAACCTTGCTCACGTAAAGTAGAAAACATATGATAAAACATGGCTTGAAAAATGACCAGAGTGCGCACCTATAGTACTGTACACTAAATAAAATAGACAAGGCGGCAATACTTAGGGGCCAGAGCACTGCTCACTACAAGTCAGTTATGGAATCTAATTTACAGTAAAAATGGGCACGTCCCAAGGCTCAATTTTTATTTTTCTTTTGTCATTTACAGTAGAATAAATATTTTGTTGCTATTGCTACACTTTAAATTTACATTCTAACCTATTAAATGCGGAAGCTAGTGTAAAGCATAGAGATTAAGTGTAGGTCCCATACGTATGACAGTTTGTTCAAGACTAGTAGGTTTGTGTATCTTTTTTTTAACTTATTAAATGGCTAGTGGGAAAGATTTGTGCTCGTGATCAGCTCTTAATTAAAATTTTTACCTCAAAGCGTCCCTGAAAACGGTCTTTCTCGCTGTACCCAATGTTCTCACCATATGCCTTACACTCAATGCGAATCTCAGTGTCCAAGGTGAGGTTGGTGAACTGTACAGCCAGCAGGGGCTGCAGATACTTGGGCTGCAGGAGTTTGCCATAGTAGGGATAATACTGCAGAGGGAAGCCATAGAATCCACCCATTCCGAAGTAATCTATGTTTCCGACTTTATCCTTGTCTTCATCTCTCTAGAAACCGAAAGGGAATGCAATTGAATTTCAATGGCACACATCACAGGTCTCGTCTTGTTCCTGAGTGCAAGATTCTCAACCCCTACCGTCTGCAAAATGATTACCAGAGGAAAACAAAAACCAAGCCACCCCATGGCATGCCTACCTCAAGCCTCTCAGAAGTGGGGGCCCCAGAGCGCTGGGTGGCCCCACAGGAAGGAAGTAATTTGGCCGTCTAGAGCAGCCAAAAAACACTCACTAGAGGGGGCTGCTTTCACTGTGCAAATGGAGACACTGAGACCCAGGCCAAGTAAATATTTCCCAAAGCTGGCTTGGCCTCCTAATAAGAAGGCCAATAGTGAGAGAAACTCCCTGGACTGTGGTGGATACAGCTTCATTACGGACACTGTCTCCAGCCGTATTGGTTTGCACGTTTGCCCCTATATCCTACATCTGACTCTTGGCTTGGTACCACAATAAAAGCAAGTTGGCCTGAAATTTTTAGCACATGCTGTGGGCTAGCTCACCTCTCGGGTCCATAAACCAGCATTCCATTAGATTAAATTCAGATATTTGAATTTCTTGTGCCAGTAAACAAACTTGTGTCTAGTTTCAATTCATTTTTTCAGAGGAACACCTGGAAGCAATTTCTTGTATTCAAACTGTCCCTTTAACTATGGAGTCACATTCATTTCCTCTCATCCTGCCCCACTTCCCTCCCACCCCCAGGAGCCCTGAGTGCATTCTTACCTTGCCAGTACACTGAACAGGTAGGACATTTGGATTATACTTGACCGCTGGGTAAGTCTCCAAGGACTCATTCTTGGGAGGCTAAAAGTGAAACCCACATTGGTCAACAAAATATTTTTTCCTGGAAAATAAAACTGATATATAGGCTAAACCAACAGAGACTGTAGACAAAAAGCTGCTGAACTAATAAAACACATCAGGAAAAGGAGGAAGTAACTCCCCTCATCAATTAAAGGATTCTGCTTAATTTGTTTGAAGAAGGTAAATATCCAAGTGTAGTGACCACCACAGAGCGACAAAGCACCGAGCACTGAGGGATGTGGGATGCTAAGCTACGTAAGCCTGCCTCAAGACAGCGGACAGTTAGAACTCAGTGACTGCTGAGGAGGCGGTCATCACACTGACGCCCAAGGACTCTTCCTTTCCAGTTCTGGGAGGTAATGCCAGTACCTAAAGCAGATGGAGTGCTGGGACTGGGTGAGCTCACGGGAAGACCCAGAGTATGGCCTGAAAACACGGCTCCAGCCAAATGTAGAGCCCTCCAGCTGCATTCCCGCTTCACATCTCCCTCCAAAGAAGGCTGATGACCATGTGTTTCTTTCTGGAAAGCAGCCTGGACACGAGAGTAGCACACACGCAGTCTAAAGCACAGCTACACCGACAGATCTATACATCAGTAAGGGATTCATATTGACACTGCCTCTTATAGACTATGAGAGAATGGGCATCCAGACTTGACTCTTTGGGGGCTTTCTGCTACCAATATTCCTGCCTTGAAAACTTAGAATAGAAAACACTGATTGACCTAAGATGTTGCCACAACGTACCCTCAGAAGATAAGGAACCAGGCACACTGACTGAAATGAGCTACTGCACTCTCTAACAAAAAAAAACTTCCACTGATAAACCAGCTGGCGATTTGGGTGGGAGAGACAATGAGAAGAAGCTGTGGATTAACTGGAGCCCAAATGTAAAAGGAGTCAGCATCTATCACAAAACAGGCCTTCCAGATGTGGGAAGAGAAATCACAACAGGCCAGCCTTTGCCTCTGTGCACCAGGAACCACTAAGAGTGTGTGCTGAGTGGCTTTAAAAGCCAGTGACCCGGAGAGCGGAAAGGCTTCCTTCAGATACACCACACCCGTTCCTCCTATTGCTAGGTTACCCTGGCTGTGGAAATGTCACATGCAAGCATGGAATAGTAGTGCTACCTATGGCACTATGGTTCCAGGCTTGTCTATAGGAAGAGTAAGAGTCTGCTGAAAGGTACACTAACATTCGCAAGAGACCCATCAGGACCACCAGCCAGCCACCCACTACTGGTTCTTGCCTCGGGTAGGGTAAAGGAGCTTTGATGAATTCTTTAAAGTAACCTTTCCTACCCGGCCTGGTAGCACACGACTTTAATCCCACCATTCAGGCAAGCGGAAGAATCTCTATGAGTTCAAGGCCAGCCTGGTCCACAGAGTTCCAGGACAGCCAGGGCTACATAGAGACATCATATCTCAAAACAAGAGAACTTTCCCTCTCTACACTGACTTTCTTTTGGGTAACAAGTATGGAAATCAATTAACATGCAGTGGAAACTGAAAAAGAAGAGGTTTCAGATAGGAAGTGAGTTTGTCCAGGTATCTCAATGTCTTGCAGTCAATTCCCCTCAGAATTCAAATGTATACACTAATGCTGGGCAGTGTGCATGTCATCTTTTGAGGAACCTTCAGGCGGAAACCATGCCTACGGAAGGACAGCAGTGTTTAATTCATGAGATGAGAAGAGAATGAAATAACCATGTAGAAGAGCCAAGACAACACCAGTAATGCTTTTCCTTCTTCTAAAGACTTCTAAAGTTCAGAGATGGTGTCATTTTCTGGGTTTTGTAAAGAAATCATCATTCAGGAATTATTTTTTTTTCAGATTAACAGACAGCAAGAATATTTCTGAAATATTCTTGTTGCTCCTTCAAGTCCAAACTAAAAGCAGCCTGTCTGTACTCGCACCACATAGCCAGGAAACACTCATGTGTGAAAATGACTTTTCATCTGGACACTGAGCCGAGTACCAAGAACAGGAACACAGAGCTGTGGCTGAGAGATGGGACTAGGAGGGTGGTGTCCATAAGGCCAGCCTCAGCTACAGAGTGACTGGGTAAGCTTGGGCTACACTAAGATTATTGTCTCAAAAAACAACAACAACAAAAAAAAAACAAGGCGACACTCCAAAATTTGGCTGTGGCACTCGGTCTGCAAGTTTAGGGATGGAGATGGCTGCCCTTGAGGCAGGAGAAAGGCTTTGGTCTTACACTACTGATGGCACTGACTGCAAAAGTAACAGCGAGTGTGGCTTAAAACTTCCTGTCTCATCAGCTAAGCCACAGTGTGCCTGTACTGTAAAACCCCACTTGCCTTAGGTTTGAAGCCCACGACTCGGTTGAGCTTGATGATGACGCAGGGTTTGCCCTCTTTGTAGCCGAAAGATTCATCATTGAGTCCAGAGCAGTTCCCCAGCCAGTCGAGCTTGAACCTGCACACCTTTCGTTCTCCCCGCTCGTGATTAAGTTCTCCCCGTTCCTTGGGTTCGCTGGGCATACCTAGAAGCACAAACACATTTACAGAGTGCGCCAGCCGTCCGCTCTGCCCTGGTAAGAAGGTAAAGAACTTCTTGTTCCTGATAATTTCTCACTGAAGACAGAGCTACACATGGGATGTATTAGACAGGGACTTTCAAAGAGCTGTCTGCGTCCTTCAAAAGCTAAATGCTAGCAAAGGCAACCTTAGGGCTGTTAGTCTCTCTCTCAAAATACTTTTATTTATTTATTTATTTATTTATTTATTTATTTATTTATTATGCATACAATGTTCTGCTGGCATGTATAGGCCAGAAGAGGACACCAGGTCTCATTACAAATGGTTGTGAGCCACCATGTGGTTGCTGGAATTGAATTCAGGATGCAAGAGCAGCCAGAGCAGCCAGTGTTCTTAACCCCGAGCCATCTCCCCGTTCCCTGTTAATCTTTTCTAATGCAGTGGTCTTCAACCTTCCTAATGCTGTGACCCTTTCATACTGTCCTATTTTCACTGCTACTGCTATGAAGTGTAATGTAAATATCTGTATTTTTCTGATGGTCCTAGGATCCCTGTGAAGGGGTCACAACCCACGTGTTAAGAACCACTGTTCTAACGGCTTGCTTAGTTACTTAGGCTAAAAGGAAGCTAGACCATGCCTAAGCAGCGGCAGCAGCAGCAACAGCATTGTGACTGACAGGTCCACACACAGCTGTGCTAAGAGACAGGCACTTTACAATAAGAACATGATGAATTAAAAGGACTGTCAACTTTGAGCTCAAAGGGTTTAGGTCAGAATTTTCTGAAGCTGCAGGAAAATATATTTTATTGTGACTTTGATGTATATTATTTATCGCTATCCTTATCATAATGTGTACTTTACTAAACTATTTCCCCTTCAAACATGATTTCACCTTGCTTATCACTTGTGTCTTTTTAATTATTGTAAAGTAAGGTGAAAACTTCATGGAAATTCTAACAAAAATCCAGTAATATTACCTTTAAACTACTAAATTAAGCAAAGAATGGCAACTCGGTCAATATTATGACCACATGAATCTACAGTGAGTCACTTACTGCCACAGTCCTCGAAAATCATGTCATCCTTCTGGGCCGAGTCTTTGTACTTCTCCAGGAACCTGACGATGTTTAGCACATAGGCCTCGTAGCTCTTGGGGTCATTAGGACGGAAGGAAATTTCAGTCTTTTGGATCTGAGGGATCTGTGTCAGTCCTACAGCAATGAAAGCCAGAAAGACAACGTCAGTGGGAAAGGCAATCAGGGACCTTCAAAAGCAGGCTTTCCCTGAACAAATAAATAGGCTTCTCTCACCCTCACCCCCACCCGGACTGGGCTCACATGATGCAGGCTTTAAATCCCCACTTCCCTTTCAAATTCAATCTGATGGCATTTAGATTAGATAGCTAAATGTACCGATGATGATATAATATCAGATACCATCCAGGTTCCTTGCCAACACTTCAGAATAGGCATTAACTTATTTTATGAATGAGAATACCACTTGCAATGTAAGGTTAAGAATTCTGGGCAAGGTTGCAGAGAAAGCAGAATCAGAATTCCAACCCAGGTGTGCAGTTCTCCAGCGTCTGTGGTTTTTCTAGTGCCTTCATATGCACACATTCTTAAAGCTGCAGTGCTAGCAGCCGGTGTACAGGTGTCGCTCCCTTTGATACTCCACATCAAGGAATTATAAAAATCCAATCTCTCTAACCTCAAGACTGCTCCCCAGAGATGACAGTCCTTTGGCTCTTAAAATGTAGGATAGTTTTTTTTCCAGCTTCAAATGAGAAATTTTAGTAAAATGTGTATGTAGTTGTCAATTCAAAGATCTAGGCATATCGGTACCTATCAAAGTGAAAGTCAAGATACATGAGACATGGGTTTGCATTCTCTATTATAAGTCTCTCAGGTCCGGAAGCCTGTGCCCTCACAGGGTTTCCTAAATGGGCACTAACTTAATACTACACAATAGCACTATATTCAGGTCAGTGAGTCGGAGAAGCAATCACAATGACATTTCACCCCAGGACAGCCAGATAAAAGGTACCCAATTACATTTCACTCCCAAATAAACATGGGATGATTCTTAAGTAGGAATACACCACACACACACACACACACACACACACACACACACACACACACTCTCACTGTGTCAGGCAGCCTCGTTGCTGTCTCCATCTCGCGACTGACCCTGTGGTGTCGGGGCCTGCTAATCAGGAGCTACACCTGACCTTGGTCCCTCACCGGTGGTCCCTCACCTGTGGCAGGTGGGAGCACCCATACCACTCTCCTCAAGCTGATGAAACAGGCAGCCCCATAGGATCCATCCCAGACCTACCTAGGCATAATCTCTAAGCCCAAAGCACCCTTGGTTTAGAATGACTGCTCTGGGGAATTAGAATTTAATAGTGGTGCCATCAAGGCAGACAATAGCATAATTAAAGTGGAAACATAACTAGCTCAATTAATTATTTAGCAGCACATTTGTGGCGCTTGAGAACAAGGCTTCAGCAGAAGCTGGAGTAAAGAGCAGTTAGTTTTTCCAGTGAGTGAGGGCTGCTTTGGGCTTCAACAGCGGCTAAGTGGGATTGGCCCGACTGCAGGGACTCCAAGCAGCCCCTCAAGAAGATGGCAGAGGGGATGGATGGAGATGAAGACAAGGAAGTGAGAGTGAGATGTGGATACAGTGCTCGAAGGGACGGTGGCACACGCCTTAAATCCCAGCACTTGGAAGGCAGAGGCAGGTGGATCTCTGTAAATTCTAGGCCAGCCGGAGCTATTTGTCTCCAACCACCAATGAAGAATGTACTGGAGGGGCCAATGAGATTCTCAGTAGGGAAAGTGCTTGCTGAACAAGCCTACTGAGCTAAGTTGAATCCGTGGGACCCACATGAAGGCAGGAGGATAAAACTGACTCCCTGAAGTTGTCCTCTGCCCTCCACATGTGAACCATAGCACAAGCACCCTGCGCCTTACATAACTGTAATATTTTTTTTTAAAAAAATGTAAAGAATTCTTGATAAGGCTAATGCAAAACCTAAAGCACACAGGAAAAAGGCCGTCCACAGGTAAAAAGGAATACTGTTTCAGAATTAACTAATAGTCTTCAGCTTGAAATAAGCAAAGGTTATTATGATTAAACAGTCTTTAAAAGTTCATAAGCCAGGAAATATTTTGTGTCTAAAATCATCTAAATATATTCTAGACAATCTTTGTACATTAGGCGGGAAGCTGGCATTGTGGTCTACCCATGGGCTTGGAAGCAGTGCAGCAAAAGCCACTGGCTGCTGCAAAGGGAAAGCAATCGTGGGCAAGTACAAAAGCTAGCACAGGATAGCAAAGGAAGAATGGTGCTGAGATAGACCGGGCAGCTAGAGAGCTGTTCCTAGTCTGAGTTGTAACCAGCCATTTAAGTCAAGGTGATTTGCCTGGCCGTGGGGAAGTGAAGGGCACACACCCAAGTGCTGGAGAAGAAAAAGACAGGCCAATAGGGTGTTTTCCTAGCACGGCTCTGGGGACAGAGAAAATGGAGTCTTGAGGGGCAGTCATGCCTAAGAGACGAAATGAACGCCTGTGAATCTGTCAGGCAGAACGGACGAAGAGTAGAACTGTGTGCTCAGGGTTACTCGGCTTTGCAAGGCCAGGGGAGGCAGCCTGAAGGGTGAAGAAAGCAAAGGATCACGTGTCAGGAGGCTAGGAGCAGCCCTACCCATCTTTCAGAAAGGAGGGAAGCTGGAAGGAACAGAACTTCAGGTGGCTGATGAAGGGCCACCAGTGTGGTGCCGGCAGTGCACGCTTAGGTCCCCAGCAGAGCAGGTGATTCAGCAGAAACCAACCTGCTAACAAAGCTCTGGAGTCCAATACGAGACTCTGTCTCACCCCACGAGCTGCAACAACTATAGTAACCTCAGGTCACACTGAAAGCAAACAAGGTAGGACCCAGATTGCAAGACAAGTTCGCCCGTGGCACTGTCCGTTCTGCCCTGGCTTCAGCTGGCATTCCCTGCTGCCCCTCCTTTGCCAGCCGTCTGTCTTCTCTAGCAGGGCCGCTCGAGGGGCTGTTTCTTTGATGTCTGTATGAGATGTAGTCTTGCCACTTCTCCAAAGAGAAAGGGAACACGAGGAGGTGGGACTACGGTGAGGGCTTTTCATTCTCTCACCACTTCAACCCCAGGTCCCCATTAACAGACAGGGTGACAAGTGCCAGAGCCCCAAATATGAGTTCTTGTAGCTCAGTTGTAAGCGTGTTTTTCAGGACCTCATGTTCACCTACATGCGTATGCTGGCCTTATCCGTAGTGAGACTATCAGCTACCCACTGCTTACCAACCGCCCTGTGAAACGGTGTGTACTGCTGTTACCTACGGTGCCACCACTGACCCAAAAGTTTGACGTGAAGTCAGTCCCATTCCTCTCTAGTCAAGGCAAACAGTGAAATCAAACACTGGAACCACACCAATATCTACCTCAGAGCTCAACCCCACACCCCTAGCCTGCTAACTGGTGCTTTTGCCAGCTAGTGTGCCTAGGCAGGATCTTCTGGCTTCCCCTTGCCACTCTTAAAGCTGTTAGTAATAACTGACCAAGGGTAAGCTCTGTCTGCAATGCTAACAACCAGAGGCCAAAGAGCAGGCCGTCAGAGCGCTGGTCACGGTTTCAAACCTTAGGCCCTGAAGCAGATCTAGCCTTCTACCTCTTGACTATCAGAGCTTAAATGCACATTAA